TCCGGGATCAGGGCCCTTCCCCTTGTTGCGGGAAGGTCCAGCTGAAGGTGGGCTAACAGGGCTTTGGGCTGATATGGCCAAGGTGCGTCGGTGACCGGACACTCTGATGTTCGGATGGGGACTCATACCCATCATCAAAGGATTGACGAGACTGCTCGTCAAACTCAATCAGTGGCGACGGCGACCTTGAAAATCGCGGGGCAGCACTCGCAGACTTGCGACTCGCAGCAAAGCGAGCCTCATCAGCCAGCAGCTGGTGCCGGGCGCCAACAGGCTGAGCTCCTCAACACTCATGCCATCCATGGCAAGGTGAGTTGTTGACTCAGATTCAAACTGATGTATTGACGAATGTGCTACACTTGTAGGACGAATGACTGGGCTTCGACGCGCGCTCGACAAGCGCGTTGTCATACCAGCACTATCATCGTCAACCGGATCAAGATCCGCGACTGGCGTCCGGCGACCCCAATCGACATCGCCCGAAAGCGCAGGGAACTCAGCAAGCTGAGACTCGGCAAGCCGAGGACTGGCAAAAGCCAGGAACACGCCCGGAGGCACGCCGTGAGGCGGGGCGAGAATTCAGCATAGCCGGGACACCGCGACCCATATCACTCACCAGTGATGGTCGGCTCCACTTGTGGAGCGGGATGACGACAGGCGTGACGTCAAACGAGCAGGGGGGGCGTCGGGGGCAGGAGCGCGACCGGTAGCCACAGCAAGACGGGGTTCGATGGGTAGCCATGAGACGTCGGAGGTTGGTCAGGGCAACAGCAAGACGACAGGAAGGGTTGATCAGACCCTCGGAGTCAGTACAGACTGTAAACCAGTAGCGAGCAGTTCAAAATATGTGACGGGGCGCTTACCAAGCGAGTCCCGGCACACGGGGAGACCGAGGGCGGAAGGCCGGCGAGGTCGGGGATGCGATAGAACTGGCGTAAGCGCTGTAGATTTGACCTCGGAAAAGACTAACTAATACAGAAAAACAGCTCCACCTATATAAGTATTTACAGGACTGATGTCATAGTGGAGAGTATGATAAAAGAATGAGTTCATTGTGGAGTAATGGCACGCTCAAGCGCAACTCCGGCGGCATGCACAATCTTATCTTATCTCGGATCGCGTGATCCGCGATCCGGGGCCTTACACCGGGCCCCGCATCAAAAACCTACATCGAACGGCGCCGCGCGCTCACACTGACGCTGGGTGTCCACGCGGCTGGCAGCTGGGGGGACTCGGCGTGCAAGTACGGTACAACACAGTTGGACTAGACCCATGCCAGTGGTGTGTGTAACAGTGTGTTGTGCGGGTGGAAGTTTACCTAGCTCATGGGATCAAAAAGAGTGGCGACCGCCGTCGATGCTTTCAATTCGCTCACGGCCCGTCTCGAACGGCACCGTGCCGCACTTTCCGGCTGCCCGCTCGCTTCCGCATTGAAGGCCCCCCATGTCAAGACTCAAGGCTCATAGTCATCACAACCAGTGGCCCAGGCAAAACAATCCCGGAAATGTGACCGCCCGCTTCGAAGTGCGCCGCCCACTCGGACTAGGCCGAGCTTCCGCGCGGGCCAGATCGTCTCTTTCATGATGATTAAATAATACTTTTGGAAGTTACCTCGAGGTGGCATTGCACGCCAAAAAAATCAAGGGTACCGCGCAAAAGAAATCTGAGACATCACTGAACGTGAACTCCCCTCACCGCGTACCAGACTGACGTCATGCGACGTGGCACCCAGGCCGCTTAGTCCTGGCGCATGCCGGCGATGATTGCCCTGCCAGTGCGCCAAGCGAGAAGACTGAGGAGTCAGGCTGCAGCCATACACATCGGTACGCATGCGCGGCTGGAAATTGCTGGCACAGGGCCGGCTAGATAGCAGCGGGAAGGAAAGGGAGAGCTCGAGGCCCATATCCGCCTCACACTGGGGCCATCATGGGCCTTTCATGGCCGGTTCCTCTTGACCGCGCTCTCGAACGCCGGCGCGAAGTCCACGTCGTGACGTGTATGTGCCGGTGGCTGCCAGCATGGTGTCCTGTCATACGATGTACAAGTCACTAGTAGATGTTGCCGAAGTGCAGTGTGGTCAAGAAGCAGCAGTATTGTGACATTGCAGCGGCAGTGTGACACCCCAGCGGCAATGTCACACTGCCGCTGCAGTACCGCTGCTGCACAACCGCTGCCGTGCCGCTGCACTGCTGCTTAACTGCCGCTGCACTGCCGCTGCAAGTCTTATGTCAGCAGCGGCAGCGGCATGTGGCAGTCACCATCTACCGCTGCAAAGTGCGGCTGGGGCCGCGTCGCGGCTGTTTACCATTGTTTGTGCCAATTTTGATGAGGCATTTTTGTAAGGCTTTAACACAACTGTACTCTATTCTAACTGTTAATACAAGTGTAAATTGAATCATTCTCTTCAAAATGTAGCCCAGTACAAGGATGTAATGGATAGGAAAAGCAGACTTGAGTTGCCGCTCACCGTGGCTGTGCAAAGTGCCGCTGCAGCGGCCGCTGCGGCAGTGCTGCGGCCGATTCGCGTACCCCCTTGGTTGTCGGCTGCCACCCGCCGCAGTTCCCCAATAGTTTCCACGCGCCGTGCATCGCGCTCCTCGCGTGTGCGTTCTGCGCTCTCACGGCGCAGAGAACTCGGCGAGGATGTCAGAATTATTTCCTTCAAGGCATGTGCGCCGGCGGGCGGACTCTGCGATGCCGAGCCTCGCCAGTGGGTCTTCAACCAATGGGCGAAAGAGGCCAGTGGCTGCTCCTCGAGGGAAGTGTCAAAACGAAGCGTGGAAAGCGCGGGCAATGGGGTCGCATTGATGGCGGTAAAAATAGCTTTCGCGATGGATGGCTCGAAGCCCAGAGTATCACCGCGGGTGTGTGTTTCAGCAGGGTCAGATGGCCAGTCTGTTTGCCACCGGGAGTAAACGGATGCTCTTTGATGGTAACAGCTTCGAGGGTGCATTTTGAGCGCTGGATAAGAGCGGCCAGGTGTCTATCCACGAAGTAGTCGAGAAGGGTGATGTGGAGGTTGGTTAAAGCAGGAACCGTAAGCTGGTCGGTCCATTTGTAACTGGTATCATCGCAATATACCACGTGGAGAGTTCGCAGAGGCGGGAGAGTCAGCCCTTCGAGACCGTACTCTGGGTCGTTAGCGTTTCCTAGTAGAATCCTCAAGGTTTCTAACATTGGCATACTGCGGAGTAATTCATAGATGTGGGCGATATCAAGGTCGGTGACGGAAAAGCTTGAAATTTGGGTCCAGGGAAGGATGATTTGGTGGCGACGGATACCAAACAGTTCAAGTTCTTGAAGGATCGGGGCATTGGCGAAGAGAGAAACAGGGGTGGCAATTTCCTCGTCGCCGTGTTGTCTATGAAGCTCCAGACTTCTCAAGCTGGCGAGCATCCAGGGCTCCCGCACTTCGGAGACGTCATCGTCCACCAATGCGTCGAAGTTCCCAACGTATTTGGCAAGTCGGGCAACAGCGCTTTTGCGGCAAGTCGGGCGCCGAGTGGCGTAGATGACCGTCGAGTTCTAGAGAATGGTTTCGCGACCGCTTCAAGCATAACTTCAGCCGCTTTTCCGCAAAACGCCCGCTCAGCGTGATGGTTGACCAGATACCAGCGAGCCTCAAGGCGATCTCTCGCCAATTGCGGCACACTGCCGCCAAACGAAAAGGCGAGCAATGTCGCGTACGATGGTCGCCGATGTATCTCGTCTCTGTCGCGCGAATGAATATTTCGCACAGAATATCGGCGGGTATAGCGGTCATTCCGGAGTAGGCAACTTTGCGTAGCTGGGCAATGACTCCGCGACGAGTGTCGATGGCGGCGACGAGCTGGCTGCGGAGCGCATCGATTTCCGCGTCCACGGCGGCGAGCTTCTCCCGTAGTAACGCGGCAGGTGTTGGGCGTGGCATTGACTCCGGAGTCGGAGATGATGGCCGTCAAGAATGAAAAAAAAAATCGTGTCACGGTGACTGTCACGCTAACGTAAGCACCACATTTCTGTTTTCCTCCCCCATCTGCCGCCTTCAATCCTTTCCCGCACAATGCTGCATACTCTCCAGGCATCTCAAACAAGCAGATGAGCTCCGTCGTTCGCCTCAATGCCCCCCTGAGCTGGGCAAGTGCGCTCATCCTTTCCTCGTCTTGTGCTCTCGCTGCCACGTTGACTATGGTCATATAGCACGTATACAGAGTGCCACGCTGAAGGACGGAATCCATCCAGAAGTGAGCAGGACAGCAAGGCCTCAGGTCCGTCTAACCACACCCTTGTCTCCCGCAACCCCTTTTTGCTCATTTCTTCATGGCGCAGGCGCTCAGCTTCCGGCGAATCACTAATCCCCGAGACGATGCGAGTTTCCTTGACCTTGGTTGTACTCCGTGCTAATAACGAATAAGATCGATTAACTGGACAAGAATCAAGTGCCAATCAGGTATGCTGTGGTACCATGGTCCGCGGGGAGTTACTGACCTATACTGATAGTTTGCGCGTAGTTGCTGTTGAGCGATACTGAAAAGGAACAGAGCTCGGTCTTGGAGTTAACAGCTACTAGTATCGTCACCCTTGAGTCTCGATGCGTAATTCTCAGGCTGTCATCGTCAGAGATTGATGTCCGCCAGATTTTGACGATTGCGAGAAGCATTCAGGTCGTCAACTGTTCGGTCCTTCCTCCGGAGTCCGTGCGCTGGCGCCGCCCGCAGGTTGCGCAGAGCTGCGCCGTAGGTAGGAAATCAAAAACTTCGGGCGCGGTTCCGCGGGTTCCACGTTGTTCCATTGCCTTCCATTACACGTCATGATGGTCGGCAGGCGCGTCCAATAGGATCGCGCCAAGCCTCGCTGTGACTGATGTCGGGATGGCGACAGGCCTCGACAGGCGCCCGTGATGCGTGACGCCGCCGGCCTTATAAACCGCGCGCGACCGTGACGCGCGTCACTCCTCGCCCACACCCACTGGCACACTCTCACCACGAGCTTGTAAGTCGCCACACCGCCACGCCCTGCCGATGTCCACCGTCTCTTCGTCCTCTCGGGTCTCTACTGCATCAGCAGCAAGCTCGCTCGGATGGCGCGCTCATGAAGGCCCTTCATGCACTGCCTTCCACGACTCGGACGAGGACAACACCGCGCACTCGCAGTCACTAACCACCAGTCCCCAGACGTTGCATGGACTAATTGGGGCCGCCTCTGACTCCTCGCACGGGAGTGTCCCTTCGTTCAGCGCCCTTACGGACTACTCACCAGTGTCGTCCACAATGGCAGAGCAGCACCAAGCGCTCCGTGCCATCGCAGACATCACAGGTACCCCGTCTCCCCGCCCCCGCGCGCCCGCCGCTGATCGCTCCCCACCAGCCTCGCCCGAGTTCCAGAGCGTCTGCGACAATTTCGCCGCCGACTTCGACGCGTACGCGGACCAGCCGCTGTTTGACGACTACGACTACGAGTACTCCCCTGAGCCAGAGCTCGGGCACGACGTATACGACTCCCCCAGCCCCCACGACACGCCGTACACGCCGTTCCTGACGACGCCGCGCCTCGCGATGGAGGCCGACTTCGGCGCCGCCTACACTGTCGAGGAGAATGAGCTGGCGGGGCAGCTGTCGGCGCTCCCCGACGACTCAGACGCCAGCGAGGCGGGGCCCGTCAACGAAAAGCTGTCGGCGCCTCCCAACTTGGACAAGCTCCTCGTTTTCAGCCCCAGCTCGCCGATGCTGCACTCGTTCAACACGGCACCCATCATGCCCCCACCCCCTCAGGCTGCTTACACCGTTGAGGAGAACGAGCTGGCAGGGCAGCTGTTGGCGCTTCCCGATGACTACAGCCGAGGCGGGTCCCAACAACGAAAAGCTGTCCGCGCCTCCTAACTTGAACTTGGGCAAGCTCCTCGTCTTCAGCCCCAGCTCGCCGATGCTGCACTCATTCGACGCGGTTCCCATCCACAGCGCCCGTCATCCCCCCACCCCCTCCGAGTCAGGCTGTGCGCCCCACTCGCGCGCCGCGGTCGCTTCCTTACGCCACTGGCACTTCGAAGGGGTATCACCGTCAATGATCTGATTCCCGGACGACGCGCCGACGATGAAGAGGACCTACCTGACGCCCAGCGCAACGTCGCGCAAGGCCGTCCCCGCGTCCATTTCCCGCAAGCTTAAGCGCCGCCACTCCGCCGCTTTCGATGATGAGGATTACGCAGAGCCTACCAAGGAAGTGCTCGATGAGATTGAGAACAAGCGACGGAGCAACACCCTCGCGGCGCGGCGGAGCCGCAAGCGCAAGCTTGAGCAGACGAAGGGCCTGCAGGACACGGTCGATGAGCTTAATACTCTCGTGACGATTTGGAGGCAGCGCGCGCTGATGGGGCAGAGTTTGCTCAAGCAACGCGGAATCGTGCTGGACTTTGGCAAGGCGTAGATGTCTTGGGAGTCGGACACATATATGCATTTTGTATCGCGCAATCTTGGTTGTATCACATATTGTTGTGTATTAATTCCCGTACCCTTAGTATCCCATCTGTTGATTCATATTCTATGTTGTCAATGAGCAACCTGACAACATACTGTAGAGTCTGTAGGTTACCTGCAGAATCTGATCGATATCATGATCGAGCATCAGCCTCGGCCACCCCGGGCGGTGCTTATAGTCACCCTGACAACTCCGAAGAAAACCGGAGGATTTGTTTTTAAATTTTAATAAAGGTAATCATAGGAGAAAAAATAGTGACCTTTATTGATTAGAAAAAAAGGTTTAAAGAATGTTAACTAGATAGGAAGGAAATCTAACCAGAAAAATGTTTCTCAGATTGTAGCCGAAAAAGGGTGCATATGTGGGAAAAAATGGAAGATATCGCATAAGAGGCTTTTTTTGTATGACAATGTTGATTCCTTTTTTTTTCTGATAAGATTGCTGTTCTACTTATTGTGTCTTTCTAAATCCATTTTTCCTAAGGAAAAAAGGTCTCCCTTTTCAGGGTCATTATTACCTCAATTAAAACTCTATTCAATCTCGACCCATCATCTCTATTCAATTGCGACCCTTCTCGACATCACGCCGACTCGATGGGACTCGCGCTTGAGGGGAAGTGTTGGGTTTCATTAATATTCATTACCGGCTGAAGCTTACTCAGCTCCGGACCTCGGCATTCCTCGAGTTCCTCTCTCGTTCTCTTACTCATTATTCTTCATCTCTGTAGAATATCCTAGAACTATTCACTCATACTATATAAAGCAATGTACAGTAGTATTTTACTCAATTCGAATGCCAAAAATGGCATGACATTTGATACGAAAATTTGAATTCGAGTTATTGCCTAATCAGGAAGTTCTTGGCGCTGCAGGCGCCCCGGAAACGTCATAAATTGCCTTTTTGGGACACAACTTTGAGCAAAACGGTGTGACATGCGAAAAAAATTCGAATTGTATGGCAAGTGTGACGCGTGACATGCGAACTGAGTAAAATACTACAGTAGTACATCAGGAAAAACCTCCCTCGGAAATCTCATGAGATTTCCGAAAATTTCAGAGGCCTTGCGCGAAATTAGGAAAAATTTCACCAGATTCCACAAAATGTTCCGGAATTTCCCACAATTTCTACAGCATGTCTAATAGATTGGTTAAATGAGCATAAAGGACTGTATAATAAGTGTATACATAGTTATTTGGAAGGTTCTCTCCTTGACAGTTGTTTCCATTATAATTTTCCATCAGAAACTAGCCCTAAATTCATCATTTCATTGGCAGATCTTTGATAGATGTGTCACAAGTGTGTGACATGGAAAAAAAAACTCATACCATTCTTTCCTCTCCCTCTCATCTTTCCCCTCCATTTTTTTGTGTTCTAAAAACTTACAAAAATCATGTTTAGACAAGGGTTCAAGATTCTCATCAGGCACATGGGGTAGGGCGGTCCCCAGGGGGTAAAAAAAAATTTGTATATAAAGATTTGAACTTTATATGGGTGTAAAGACACTGAAATGTAGTGTATACACTCTAATTTGTATGGTTGAGAACCCCCCATACTTATATCCATATACTTTCAGGCCCATAAGTGGTGAGCTTAGATAGCACACCATGTCACAGGCCCATCATCAGGTATATGATAGGAGGTGAACATATTGAACAGTGATATGGCCTGCCATGTGTGTTTGAGAGTTCCAGGTACATAGATACCTACACAAAAACATATACAAATACATAAATTCTTTTGAAAACAAAAAAAGTTTCATAAAGACTAAATTTTTATACCACTTTTTAATCACATCAGTGGTCACACGATGCTGATTGTGGGAACATATTACCCTATATGGCAGCAGGGGGGGGGGGAGGCCACGCTCTACCCTAGCACCTAGCACTGTTGTAGTATATGGTATGCTATGTGTGTTGATCAGTTATTTGTAAATTCGATTTGTTTCATTTATTGCATTCTGAACACTGCTAAGGCATCTTTCATGGTCTTCTCTCAAGTCTTTATGGTACTGTACTATTTAGATCAACTGTCCGTGGCATGGAACACGGAACGCACACTGTCCGCCGGACAAGGTGTACGGACTACCATAAAAAGTCCGGCGTCAGTCGGAACAGAAAATTGCCTTTTTAAGGTGATGTTGATAGGAATCCGGGCCTGAACACGTAACAGAGGCTAATCAGCAAAACAATCTTAGAGAGACTATGTAAGGGCAACCCCGGAGGCCTGAGATCAAGGTCCTAGCAGGGGAGGATCCAAAGAGTGAATAGAAGTAAGCAAATACAAGTGAGGCTGACCTAGCAGGGGAGGATCCAAAGAGAAGAAACTCTGAGGTCCGCCTGCTAGGTAGCGGAACTATATACTGCGCTCTTGACGCGCCAAGGTTGATCGTTGCTCCGTGCAGTATGCCTGCGCCATGTCGCAGGCCAGGTCCCAGGGGATCGCCAGGCGGGGCGGCGATGCGCCTGACGGAGGCGGTGATGCGATCACCGGAGTCGGAGCCGGAGTCGGGCCGGAATCAGAATCGTCTCCGAGGGGCCGAAGGGAGGTTCCCCTGACATCACCCCCCTTTGAATGCGGCGTCCCAACGCATAGACCGGAATGGAATCGAGTCGAAGGTTGCAGAGGCGATGTGCCGTGGTTTGCCAGGGTACTTACGATAGAACTCCGCGATTTTCTCCGGGGCGAAGACGCGGTCGAAGCGGACCCACTGGTCATGCGACGCGTCGTAGCCTTTCCATCTGACGAAGTAATTCAGCCGTTTATACCTCACCCTTGCGTCCAGGATTTCCTCTACTGAGCCGTAGTGGTAGTATTTAGGCTAAAACCAGTAGGTGTACTTAGGAAATGCATTGCCTAGCCCCCTAGCTACAGCCAGGAGGCTGTATATACCTAGTTATTTAGCCTAGTGCTCCGCCCTAGGCCAAAGCATTGTTTTTATGGAAAATATATTATTATCCTTTATCTGGTACCTTGTGACTGATGGTAACACACACTTTAAATTAATGATTTTATTGTGGAACCATTTTTGATTGCCATCAGTGCTTTTGATGGCTATATCATGATACATCATTTTTGTCCAAATTGGGATTGTTATTGATATAGGCCTTTCCCAACTACATACCGGATCATCGGCCTGAAGAAAAGGAGTTTAAAGTATTATATATGCATAAGTATTAAATGATATGTATTAGATAACAATTTGTCCCATCATTGATGCTATTGATTAAGGGACTCTCTGCATGGGATTAGGCTAAATAGCTAGGTGCACCCAGGCTGCGTGCAGTTAGTGGGCTAGACAATGGATATCCTGGGTGTACCTTGGAGGCTAGGCTAAATCTTACAGCTACGGGTGCTCTACTTCCCACTCCGGGACTCCGTCCTCGAGGTCCGGAGGGGGCTGGTCGTAGCCGGGGCGTCCGTCGAAGGGGTCGTCTTGGGCGAGCTCGAGCTTGACGACGGGGAAGACCGGGTGGAGCTTCGAGTAGCGCGGAGGGAGGTCGAGCTTGTAGGCACCTTTGCTGATCTCCACGACTATCTTGAATGGTCCGAGGCGGCGGTGGGAGAACTTCTCCGAGGGGCGAGTCGTCCTGATGTCAGAGGCATCCAGCTAAACACGGTCGCCAACCTTAAACTCCGGAGACGGAGTGCGTCTCCGGTCGTAGTAGCGCTTGTACTCCTCTTTGGCCTTAGTGAGCGCGGCCTTGGCTTCAGCGACACCAGTGGCGATCCGGTCGGAACTCGTTCACTGACTCCATGGCGGAACGGACTCCGGGTTGAAGCCCATGCGCAGGGAGTCGTCCCGTGTCCGTCATGAAGGGGACTTGTTGCGTGGAGGAGTGAACGTGGTTGTTGTAGGCGAACTCCGCGGCCGGAATCAGCTCATCCCAGTCGTCCTGCTGATAGTTGGTAAAGATCCGCAGGTACTGCTCCAGCTCCTGGTTGACGCGCTCTGTTTGACCGTCTGTCTGCGGGTGGTACGCGGTGGACGTGGCAGGCTTGATGCCGATTAGACGCCAGAGTTCTCGGGTGAAGTCCGCGATGAACTGCGAGCCGCGGTCGGAGACGTACTTCTCCGGAGTCCCGTGATGGCGCCAGACATTCCGGTAGTAGAGGCGAGCCGCCCCTACTGCGTCGACCGTGGTGTGACACTCCGAGAAGTGGGCACGCTTCCCAAGGGTGTCGACGACGACCATGATCGTGTCGTACCCATGGGCCTCCGGAAGCTCGACGATGAAGTCGACGGAGACGGTATGCCAACGCTCTGGGGGCGTTTCCGTCGGGTGCAGCTCTCCGTGGGGCAGTCTCCGGAGTGCTTTGGTGCGACAGCACAAGTCACAGGTCGCGACGTACCGGCCAATATGGCGAGACATCTGAGGCCACCAGTAGTTCCGGGAGACCAACTCCAAGGTCTTGAAGCGACCAGCGTGTCCGGCAACTTCGAGTGTCGTGGCAGAGCTCGATGATGCGTCTCCGGAGGTCCTTATCCTTAGGTACGACAATCTTCCCACGAAAGTGAAGAAGGCCACCGGAGACAGCCCACTCGTCGGAGCGAGGAGCGGGGGCCTCGAGCTTGACCTTGGACCTTTAGGAGTTGCCGGGCCGCTAGTGCGACGGGCTCCTCCAGGTCAGGCTCACCGGAGAGGGCATCGCGGATGTCAGGAGTTCAGAACCAGGGCCGGAAACGGAAACGCCTTCGAGAGCGCGGACATGGAAGAGTTCGGGCCGCAGAAGGACGACGTCGGAGTTGTCGGAATCGATTCCGTGGTCTGGTCTCCGAGAGAGGGCGTCAGGTCGGCCCATGTCGCGGCCGGGCTTGTGGTGCAGCGTGAAGTCGAACCGGGAGAGGTAGAGGGACCAGCGGGCCTGTCTCCGGTTGAGGTGCTGCGTCTTCCTGAAGTACTCCAGATTCTTATGGTCAGTCCAAATCTCGACGGGATGCGCGGCGCCCT